AACTCTTCACTCTTCTGTAAGTTACCAGATTCTAAAAACCTAAAAAATCAACAACTAATTTTATGTTATTTAGAAATATGAAGGAAAATACCAGAAGTAATTGGTTAAGAGGTGAAAATGATGCCAGGAAGACAGGTGGCAAGGAAATCATATTTTTAAATTAATTCTTCTAATGCTCCTTGACTTCTTATACAGGTAATGTATGAAAGTAGCTTAAAAAATAATTTGTTCGAAGAAATACAGAATATGCGGAAAAACACAAATAAGACATAAATCCCCTGTCCATCTACCAACCTGTTTACATTTTGCTATCATGCATCCCTGCTCTATACCTATATTTAATCTACATATTCTAGAAAATTAGGCTCCTTGGGGTGCCTGGGTAGCTCAGTCATTAGGCATCTGCCTTCGGCTTGGGTCATGATCCCAGAATCCTGGGATCGAGCCCCACATCGGGCCCCCTGCTCAGTGGGGAGCCTGCTTCTCCCTCTCCTACCTCCTCCCCTGCTTGTGTTCCCTCTCTGTCTCTCTGTCAAATAAATGGGTAAAATATTAAAAAAAAAAAAAGAAAGAAGAGAAAATTAGGCTTCTCTTAATTATACTGTTTAGTAATCTGTTGTTTTCATTTAATTTTTTGTGGGCATTTCCTCAGTAATTACATATATATTTACAACATGAGGAACAAAATGAGTACCCTAGACCAAGTTTTTATGCGAGCTGAACTAAACACTTTTGGGATAGAGTTAGTCATGTCAATTAAAAGCATATGAATGTGGGGTGCCTGGGTGGCTCAGTGGGTTAAAGCCTCTGCCTTCGGCTCAGGGCATGGTCCCAGGGTCCTAGGATCGAGCCCCTCATCGGGCTCTCTGCTCAGCAGGGAGCCTGCTTCCTCCTCTCTCTCTCTCTCCACCTGCCTCTCAGCCTACTTGTGATCTCCATCTGTCAAATAAATAAATAAAATCTTAAAAAAAATTAATTAATTAAAAAAACTGAGTGGGAATATATTTCTTTAGAAAAAATAAGATTAAGGATAACATAACACATTTTCTATATCATCTAACTAGTAAAATGTAACAACAATGTTTATAATTGAAGTTAGTTTGCGTTCTCCAAAAAGAGTTCCTCTGCCTGGAAAAAAATGTTTTCACAATATATTACTAATTTAAAATAAAAGCATATACAGTATAATCTCTAATTTATTTCTTTTTTTTTTTTTAAAGATTTTTATTTATTTATTTGACAGAGATCACAAGTAGACAGAGAGGCAGGCAGAGAGAGAGAGAGGGAAGCAGGCTCCCCGCTGAGCAGAGAGCCCGATGCGGGACTGGATCCCAGGACCCTGAGATCATGACCCGAGCCGAAGGCAGCGGCTTAACCCACTGAGCCACCCATGTGCCCCCTAATTTATTTCTTAGAATGTAAACAGCATAGGGGAAAACAAGCCTGCAAAGTCACACAATAAAAAAATCAACAGTAGTTCTTTCTTAGGCCTATTATGGATCATTTTTATTATTTTCTTCCCAATGCTTTTCTACATTTCCTTAACTGCACTGGTATTACTTCTGCAGTCCCTTTTAAGGAACGGTCTAGAGGGGCACCTGGGTGGCTCAGTGGCTTAAGCCTCTGCCTTCGGCTCAGGTCATGGTCTCAGGGTCCTGGGATCGAGCCCCGCATCGGGCTCTCTGCTCGGCAGGGAGCCTGCTTCCCCCCCACCCCGCCTACTTGTGATCTCTGTCTGTCCAATAAATAAATAAAATCTTAAAAAAAAAAAAAAAAAGAAACGGTCTAGAGTCAATGCTGCAAATGAAAGACAGCAAGGGTGTGAGTAGTTCAAAAGTAACTTATTTGATAGCTAGACTTGTTTTCACATCTTTCATTGAGTTTCCCCGAAGCAATTCCATACCACACTGAAACTCTCCTTGGTGCCTGTCTGGTCTTCTGTTCTTACAGTCAATAATTACTGAGCCTCCATTTTGTGTCAGGCACTGTTCTAGTACTAAAGACACAGCAGTGAATAAAACAGATGAAATTTGCCAGAGAAGACAAAAACAAAAACACCTATAACAAAAATGCACTTTTAGTGGCCACACAAACATGAGCACACAACAGACACACATACACTCCTTCCAAGTGTGAGGAAGAAAAATTAAGGATAGGTGGGAAGAGAGCATTGTTTTAGTCAGAGTAGGCCTCCCGAGGAGGGGGCCCCGACCTGAATGAGGAGAGGTGGCCATGCAAAGATATGAGAGAGCAGGCTAGGGAGAGGGAGCAATTGAAAAGGTCCTGAGATGTACAAGCTTGTACAGAATAGGGAAAAGACCAGTGCAAAGTGGAATGAGCAAGCGGGAGAGCAGATTATGTAGGAGGAGGCAGGGATCAGACCATGTAGGGCCTTACAAGACCACAGGGAGTCCCGAAGGTGATTCAAAGGCACTGAGGTTTAAAAGATCACTGCGTGCTACATGGATAATGGACTGTGTGAGGGAATGCAAGGAGGCAGGAAAACCTCTGGGGAGACTTTACAGGTGTTCAGGCAAGAAACAACCATGGCCTGGACCAGAGAGAGTCATAGGGTGAGAGGACGAGATGCGGTCCGACATGTATACACCTTGATGGATGACCCAACAGAACTTGATGACTCACCATCAGGAATGAGGAAGGAATCATAGGTGATTTGCAGGTCCTTGGCTAGAGTAACTGAGTGAATGGTGGTGTCATTTACTGCCGGGGCTAACTGGCAGAGAAGCAAGTTTGTGAGTGGCAGATATCAAAAGACCCAGAGGGCCGGGTGGCTCAGTTCAGCGTCCGACTCTTGGTTTCAGCTCAGGTCACAATCTCAGTCAGGGTGGTGAGACTGAGTCCCGCACTGGGCTCCACACTCAGCTTGGAGTCTGCTTGAGATTCTCTCTCTCTCGCCCCTGCCCCCACACTCTCACTCTCCTTCTCCAAAATAAATAAAATCTTAAAAAAAAAAAAAAAAAATCAAGAGACCCATTTCAGACATATTAACCATGAAATGACCACTAGCCATTCGGGTCAAGATGTCGAAGAGACAATTTTACCCAGTTCATGTCTGTAGTCCATGGGTAAGTTGGGGATGGTGACGTGTAACTGATACTTAAAGGTATGGGACTAGACTCCTGGGTGGCTCAGTCAATTAAGCAGCTGCCTTCAGCTTAGGTCATGATCCCAGGGTCCGGGGCTCATTGCTCAGCAGGGAGCCTGCTTCTCCCTCTGCCTCTGCCTGCTGTTCCCCATGCTTGTGCTCGCTCTCTGATAAATAAATAAAATCCTTAAAAGAAAATTAAAAATAAATAAAGGTATAGGACTAAATTTATCTCCTAGGGTGTGAGCCTCAAGGTCTGCTAACTTTAGAGGTAGCAAAGGGGAAGGTGAGTGTCTGATGAGAGGTCCCAGAAGCCAAGTGAATAAAGTGTTTCCAATACCTGAGTCAGAGCTGCTAGTAAGCAGAGCAGGTAAGATAAGGACTGAGAACTCGTGACCTTGATAAAGGCAGCCTCAGCAGAGTGATGGAAGAGAAAGCCCCGTTTATGCTCAAGAGAGGATTGGAAAAGGGGAGCCTGGGCAGCACAGCTGGTTAAGCATGTGAACCTTGGTTTCAGCTCAGGTCGTGATCTCAGGGTCAGGAGATTGAGCCCAGCATCAGGCTCCGGGCTCAGCACGGGGTCTACTTGAGACTCTCTCTCCCTCTCCCTCTACCCCCAACCCTGGCGCTCTCTAAAATTAAAAAAAAAAAAAAAAAAAAAAAATCCTAAAAAAAGAAAAGGAAGAGAGAGAGAACTGAAGACAAGAGAGTACAGATAACTCTTTGAAGTCATATGTACTGCTTTTGGGACAAGGGCTGACCACTGTTTCTCTAGCATCTCAATAGTTCTCGGCACAGAGTACATGGGAAGTAAGCATTACCAAAAGAACTTTGAATCTGACAATTGCCAATATTTCACACGATATTAAGAAATGTGATAGAGGGGTGCCTGGGTGGCTCAGTGGGTTAAGCCTCTGCCTTCAGCTCAGGTCACAATCCCAGGGTCCTGTGATCAAGCCCCACATCGGGCTCTCTGCTCAGCGGGAAGCCTGCTTCCCTTCCTCTCTCTCTGCCTGCCTCTCTGCCTACTTGTGATCTTTGTCAAATTAACAAATAAAATCATATTAAAAAAAAAAAACACCAACCTGATAGCATCCTGCCCATCCCATTCTGTTCCTAACATCATTCTGTAGGCTCTTCCCTTCATCATGAGGATGAACTACAAAAACCTGAGTTTCTCGGGGCGCCCCAGTGGCTCAGTTGGTTAAACGTCTGCTTTTGGCTTGGGTCATGATCCCAGGGTCCCGGGATCGAGCCCCGCATCAGGTTCCCTGCTCAGCAGGAGTCTGCTTCTCTTTCTCCTCCCTGCTTGTACTCTACCTCGCTCTCTCACCGTCTCTCAAATAAATAAATAAAATCTTTTTTTTTTAATGATTTTTTTCAAAGATTTTATTTGTCAGAGAGAGAGAGAGAGAGAGACAGAGAGCAAGAGAGCACAAACGCACAAGCAGGGGGGCCGGCAGGCAGAGGGAGAAGTAGGCTCCCCGCTAAGCAAGAAGCCAGATGTGGGACTCGACCCCAGGACTCTGGGATCAGGACCTGAGCCAAAAGCAGATGCTTAACTGACTGAGCCACTCAGGCATCCAAAAAAACAAACAAACAAACAAATAAACCAAAAAACCCAGAGTTTCTCTTCACCTTTCCGGGACCAAAATGTAATTAAGTAGCATTGTGACTGGTAGCTGAACCAAGAGAAAAGAAAAAGACCTTCCATTTCTGCTCCCCAATTTTCCAGAGATTATATACAAGTCAACAAGTAAATTATGAACATGTCACCAAAGGGTTAAAAAAGCAATCAGTGGTCCAGTTAATTAAATAAAACATCTCATTTCAAACCTTCTGCTGAGATCTTAAAAAAAGCCACTTAATTCCCCAAATGGGTAACTTGCCCTCCCCCGATGCACGTTCGCGTCCCTCTATTACAGCGTTAAAGCTCCGAGGCAAAAAGCAACGTCCAGAAAACAGTCAGGTTTCCCTACCTGACAAAACGTCTTCCGCTAATTCCTTTTCTCTTTCAATTTTTTCCTCTAGAGTTGAAATGCAGAATTCATAGCCAGCAAGAGCAAATTCCTGTCTGTAAAGCAAAGATCAGCAGTCGGCTGTTCACCTTTTCACAAACTCCTCTTTCATTCGCATTTTCCGGGCTTGGGTGTGAGCATTAGCAATACAGGAAATGTGAGATGGGGAGGGGGAATGCTGCTTGAAGTTTCCAAGGAGTCTGAGTCTGCCATTTTGTAGAAGTTTTTAGTCACCCATTTAATCTAGCTTAAGACCCAAAACGCTGAGAACACTGCTGTCATCTTAATAAATGACAGAACCAGTAGCTTCCACCATGAGTTTGTCTCTCCATTTGGGAAGGCCTTACACTCACTCAAAGTAATGCTAATATGAACAGAGGCTCAGGCCACCTGCCCTAAGGATGCTAACTACTGATCTCGTGCAAGTTCTGAACAGGTTTATTAGCTTTGTGTATTAGCTTCCCAACCTGTTAGGTCTTTACTAGAAGCTTCTTTTATATACATGGAATTCCTGACTATGGCACTAGAAGGCACTGAGCCTGAATCCAGCCCGGGACCCTCAACCAAATGGAGAGGACACCTAAACATTAGGCAGATGGACTCCGGAGAGAACAGGCGTCAACCATCGGTTTCTAGAAAGAGATGCACGGACACAACAGAAATTCCTTCTGCATCCAGAAGTTCAGCCCCGGTTCTCGTCTTCGGTGATGGCTCTGGTTTCTTAGCAGACGGGCACTCCAAAGCTCACCCCTCCTCCTCTAGTGCTTTGCCAGGGAGAACCGATGACCCCACTGCTGTACTCTGTTCCCAGAACAGAAGCTTCTTCAGACCAAACTTTGGCAGGAGGGACCCTATCCAGCCAGGACTAGGAGCTGGGGGAGGCTGCCCACTAGATGTTTCTAGTCAGAGCAAAATGTCTAGAAATAATTCCCTTACTATTATCAGCCTTCCTAAGCCCCAAGTCTAGTTACATATATTCCACTCTCTAAATGAAAAAATACTTTCGACAAGAGTACAGAGTAACCAACAGACCAATTATCAGGGGCCACTACTTCCACTTGTCCGAGACCATGAATTCGTCTTACTCTCCACTGGGATTAGCTTCGGCCTTCTTTTTATTCCAATTCATACCCCATCGACCTCCAGTTCTAGGACTCCTCCAAGAGAGATTGATCCAAGCTGCGATGCTCCCCAGCACGGGCCAACCTCAAAGCTCCACAAGAGACTTGAAATCAAAGACCCTCCGAAGTCCTAGCCCATCTAGTGTCCATGCACATGCAGGCAACAAGCAGGTTCCGCTGACAGAGAAGGAGCTGGTGACCAGGGCAGCAGGGACCAGAGCCAGGAACCCTGACCTCAACGAGCACTCCTGTTATAGCATCAGGTCTGATATCATTCCAAACCTCTGGTGCACAACTACCACAGCACTGAAAACCTAAAAGCTATTCTCAGGTCCTCCCATAAATGCCCTCCAAGATACATAACTCTCTAGAAGTTCTTTGCTTACACTCTAGGTTATTTCTTCTTTGAACCCCACCTTAAGAGAATGAAAGGCACCAGGCCTCACTCATTGGTGTTCCTGGGACCATGAGAACACATCCAAATTCTTTCCTAAAGCCTTTCCCATGTAGCAGAAGATTCTTCTTTACAAGAATTTAGATTCATCTAATACTTTTAAATTAAGACCAATTTTCCGTCTTACATATCCAGAGCTCACTCCCCTACTCCGAGGTATTTCCCCTTCTTAAAACTTGTCACCTGATCGCCTTTACATGCTTTAAAAACACTGCCCGCTGGACTAGCCACTGAGACACTCCCACATCAAGTCCCTCATCACCCAACTATGTATCTACCCTCCTGGTTTGTTGATACTTATATTCAAAAAATGGTTCCTTCAAAGTACATTACCCCAATGGCTTTTACACTGCTCCCTCCTCTTCTAGGAAGAGCTAAACTAGTTCTAACTATAACCTTCCTTCCCAGTTCAAGCAGGAACAGAAAAGTTGATTAGCTTTGTCACGGTGTGGCCAAAGGAGTGAGGGCTGTCTGCCCCACTCAGCAGGCTACTGGAAACAGCAGGGCAAAAACTAGAAGACTAAAGACTTCAAGGATGGGGTGGGGGGAACACTTTGAGTGTGATACCCAGTTTTTTTGAGACCCAGATAACTGGAAACTAAATGAAAATGATACAATATCCTAGAAAGTTCTCTGCCCATAGCCCAACTCCCTGGCTGCTGCCACACCTAGATTCTGACTCTACTTACCTATTCTGAGCAGCATAGATACTGGCCAGCTTTAGAGAGATTTCAATTATTGCATTGTCTTCCTGTTAGGAAAAAGGAAATGAAGAAAATTCACAGAAGCTCAATTTCCACATGGATAATTTCTGATCAACATCTATACTGACTTTAGCCTAAAAGCTTTAGTCTTTATCCTTCTGGAAGAATTAGGCAACTGAACTTCTCAGCAACCGCGTTTTGCATGAATGAAAGACTGGTAGTTTATACAGGGCCAAGAGGGGGAAAAAAATCCACCTTTTTTCACCAAAGCACATGTTGGGGGCTGAGTGGAGTTTTCAGGAAGCAAAACTATTTTGAAAACCTCTTCCGCTAGGGCCCAATCCTAGGCAACATCCTTACCTGTTGCATGCCCCCTCCAAGCAGGTAACTCATTGTTGCTTTAAAAAGTTTTTCCGCCTAGAAGCATAAGGAAAAGATTTTTCTTTTACTTGGGACCCTGGATTCTAAGTACTAGTCTGATGCAACATTCCCTTGTAGAACAACATACACACTCATATGCAGAGAAAAATATCCTTGTGATGAGAAAACAGACAAAACACCAGGACCCCACCTCCTCTGGGAACCGTAAAAACTACCCTGTGAGAAGTAGAAACCAACTTCAGAAATTAACTTTTCATCTAGGGGTGCCTGGGTGGCTCAGTGGGTTAAGGCCTCTGCCTTTGGCTCGGGTCGCGATCCCAGGGTTCTGGGATCGAGCTCCGCATCGGGCTCTCTACTCAGCGGGGAGCCTGCTTCCCTTCCTCTCTCTCTGCCTGCCTCTCTGCCTACTTGTGATCTCTGTCAAATAAATAAAATCTTTAAAAAAAAAAAAGGAAGAAAGATATTAACTTTTCATCTAAAGCTACTGTGGCAGAAGCTGCAAGCTATCCCCTAATTATTCACTCTCCCATCCTTTTAGTTACAACATCTGTTCAGGTTTTTTTTACAGGTGAGCCTCCTTTGCAATTGGTACGGTCATATGATGAAGTCTTGGCCATGGGGTGCAAGTAGAAGGAACATGAACAATTTTTAAATCCTATTTTATAAGGAAGCTGCCTGCCTGCCCCTTCCTGGAGGCTAGGGGTGAGCCAGCTCACCCATGTGGACAAGAACACAGCTTACAAGGAAGTCAAGCTTGTGGACCACTTCATGGAACAGAGGTACCTACCGTTCTTCAGTGCACCGCTACCTCTGGAATAATGCATTAAAAGAAATACACCCTCTTGTTGGAGTCACTCTATTTTGGGGTCTCCTTTTTACAGCGGCTGAGCTTGTATCCTTCTTAATAAAGAGTTCCCTTGAAGCTAGTCCTTCACAAACTCAAAATACCACAAAGTGATTTACTTACATTTTCAAGCTGACCCCGTATAAATGCTAAGTTGGCCATCTGAAAGCAAATTACAAATTGTTTTTCAGTTTAGAGCACTGCATTCTTATTTCAAAACTTCTAAGCTATGACTCCCTTTTGCTTTTACCCTCTGAATAAGAAAAAAAAAAAGTTCCAAGAAAAAGGTATTTAACTAATTTGCGAAAATCGAAGGACAGCAATTGTGTGAGTGTAAATAGTTGCACAATCTCTGCGAATGAAAAACCAACTTTGGATCCATTCATCACTGGAAAAAACAAATACTAATGACATTTATTTTTGGCCTGAGATTTAAACTTCATGTAAGTGAAAGGTAATAAAATGTTAGTACCTAAGGGTCATATAATAAAAATCGAAACCAAAAGAAAACGTAGTAAAAACAAAACCCAAAGAGCTTCACAACACCCTGAAGGTCAGGAGGGTATATCAGGAGAGCGAACAACCCTTCTCTTACATCCACCCTTCACCATCAGTGGCTCAGACTGGTTAGAAGAGTTACCAAATCGTAAGTGTAAGTGATGGCCTTCTTGTTATCACTCTGATAGGCAAGACGAAGAGCGTCATGTAAAATCAGCTCAGCCTCTTCTGGCTCATCTTTCATGATGCTCAACTGAAAAGAGAAAACAAAGAAAGGGATAGAAAACGAAATGTAAAGAAAGCAGATGTATGTGCTACCACACAGAAGTGGGTACGGCCATACATCCCAATACACACAAGACAGCTATCCGCTCATTCGTCAAATATGTACTGAATTCCAGCTGTGCACCAGGCTTTAGGTCTACAACGGTGACAGGGAGGTCCTCTTCCTTTGCAGCTATGTATTTGCAGCCACACGACAAAGTTCTGGCCAAATGCAGACAACAGGAACGTGAATAATTTACTGCACCCTGTTTTCTAAGGAAGTTGCTTGTCTGGCATCTTTTTTCCCCTCCTACAGACTGAAGGTAATCCTACAGGACAAATAAAGTTAATTATAACTAATGATATAAACTATGAAGGAAAGCAGTGGGAATAACAATAAGGGGCCCCACTCTAAAGGCGAGACAGAGAAGCCCTCCGAGGAAGTGACAGTTATACTGAGGCAGGAAGGATGAGAGTCAACCAGGAATCATGGGGGAAAATGACCCAGAGAGCAGGGGATGAACAAAGGCCCAGCAGGCTGAAGAGAAGGATTTTCCAGAACCATTCAAGAGATGAAAGGAAACACATGTGAAGGGCAGACCCGGCGAGCCAGAGAATTATTGCTAAATGGGTGGACAAGGCAGGGGTGGGGTACGTCAGGCAGGGTCGTGCAGGCCACGGTAATAAGTTTGGATTTTATCATAAATACAGCGGGAAGTCACTCAAAAGTGTTTAGGCGAAGAAGTGGTATGATCCAATTTACATTTTTGGTTTTTTGACTTAATAATTTTTTAAAGATTTATTTATTTTTAGAGAGTGTGCACGTGGCCGGGCGGGGGAGGGGGTTCTCAAGCAGACTCCCCATGGAGTAGGGAGCTGGAAGTGGGGTTCGAGCTCACAATCCTAAGATCATGACCTGAGCTGAAACCAGGAGTTCGAGACTTAACGGACAGAGCCACCAGGCGGCCCCCAGTTTACGTTTCTCACTGCTGCATGGAGAGTGGGGCAACAGGGCAGGCAAAACTACCAGACGGCAGGCTGTGACAATGTGGCCAGGATGACAGCAGAGGACACAAAGAAAAGGGCAGATGGATTCCAGAAATACTCTGATTTTGGTGGCAAGAGTAACTGTTGCTGGGCTGGAAGGGTACTGAGAGGTACCCGCAAGTTTTAAGACTGAGTAGGAGGTTCCCAGAGGCAAAAACTGGTAGACAGTGGCAAGGAGAAGATGGTGAAGGAACGTGCTGGGGAGGCTTTTGAGATCAACAGTCAGGTGTGAGAGGCAGGTGAGGCCTCGAACTGGAGAGGGCATGTCAGTAGCACACTGCAGCCGGGGAATATAAATTTGATGTCGTTAGCACCGAGGCGGCAGCGAGCCCGATGGCAGACAGGAGATAACCTGAGGACGACAAAATAGAAAAGAACGTGGAGAAGAGGAAGGCTTTAGAGAAAGAACAGAACCAAACCGTGCACAAGCAACACTCAGGTGCATTTTCTGGACGCCACATACGTGCCCGATTCTCCCTTCGGTCCGGCTGGCTCCCTGACAAAAGCAACTACATTTCCGCTCATTTTGCTTGGATAAAAAAGCGAAGCCCGTGGTGCCCCCTCCATCTGCACTGGGGACTGCAGCGGTCTGCCTGCAGGCTCTGGAGTCTGACAAGCCTGGATGGATGCCAACACCGCCCCCCCCCCCAACCATGACCCATCGAATTCCGGGCAATTCTACCCCCGGAGCCCCCCATCCAGCGTTCGGGAAGCTGGAGCGAGCGCTGCGTACCCGCAGGGCCAACGAACGGGCCCCGCTCGCAAAGGCCGCCTCACCTTGGCTCTCTTCAGCAGCTGGATGATCTCGGCCTCGGTCTCGTCCGCCGCACCCTCGGCGGCGGCCCCGCCCGCTCCCTGCCGCTCCTCCTGCTCATCTGCCGCAGCGGGCCTCGAGAACCAGGCGAGCGCTGCGAGAAGGGGCTCTGAGGTCACCGGACCCGGCCTGCGCCCCGGTCCCCGCCCGGCCGGCCCCGCCCGGCCCGCGCCCCTCACCTGCCAGCAGCGGCAGCAGGCCCGGGCCTCCGCCGCGCGGCGCGACTCGGAATGCCGGCACCGCCACCTCAGGCGCCCGGCCCCCAGCGGGCCCCGGGAGCAGGCGCGCCGAGCAGGTCCGGCACCGCCGCCCCGCGGCCCGCAGGAGGCCTAGGCCCAGGCTCGGGCTCAGGAGCCGGTACATGCTCGCGCGGCGTCCTCGGCGCACTGCAGGCCCGGCCGGGTCCCAGGACGGCCCGCCCCCAACGCCGAGCGCCCGCCGGATTGGTCTGGCCGCGAGATGGGAGGAGGCGGCGTCGTGGCTGCCCGCATGCGCGTGACGCGCGCCGACGTCCCTGAGCCCGGCCCCGCCTCCGACGGCGGGAATTCTCCCCAGAGCCGTCGGAGCCTCGCACCTGCTGGGCTTTCCCGGGAGGCTAAGTACCTGGGACGCCATGGCCGTCGCCTTGCCAGGAGCCACGTTGCCCGCTGTCGTCGAGGAGCTCCTGAGCGAAATGGCCGCAGCGGTGCAGGAAAACGCGCGAAGTACGGGCCTGAGGGCGTGCGTAGCTGCGCTGTGGGCGGTGGACCTGGCCAAGCCCGTGGGGAGGCGAGGGGCGGAGTTCGCTGGGCCTGCGGGGCGCCGGGTTGGGCGCGCTGACCCCGCTCTCTTCGTCCCGGCCTCTCCGGGCTTTTTTCTCCTATGGCTCTATTCCCAAACCCCAGTTCGTAAAAAAAAAAAAAAAAAAAAAAAAGGAGGAAAAGGAAAAGGAAAGCCAGATTTGTGTAGGGAGCAGGCAGTGGTCCCAGCAGGCGGGCGGGGCCCCAGGGAGAGAAGGGCTGGGCGCTGCCGCGAGACCCGTGAGAAGGGGCCTCGGACCAGGAGGGCTCAAGAGACGGGAAGGGAGGCGAAGTTTTGAATTTTTAAGCTTGCCTGCGGTCTTTTTCTCCCCCCTCAAAATCTTAACTTTAACATTAATCTTCGCGTGCACTGTGTACGCCAGATAAATATTTCAGAAGCACGAAACGCAAACGCATACGCAAAGATTGGAGTAAATAGGGATATTGTGAGAGTACCTGTTTTTTTTTTTTTCTCTGACCAGCAGAGGATGCTCTGTGACTGTTGCTTACGAAAATCACCCAGGTGATTTTAGATTATAATTCTAATCAAAACGCATCGACCAGTTAGAAATACTCAATCAGGGGCGCCTGGGTGGCTCAGTGGGTTGAGCCGCTGCCTTCGGCTCGGGTCGTGATCCCAGGGTCCTGGGATCGAGTCCCGCGTCGGGCTCGCTGCTCAGCGGGGAGCCTGCTTCCCTTCCTCTCTCTCTGCCTGCCTCTCTGCCTACTTGTGATCTCTCTCTGTCAAATAAATAAATAAAATCTTAAAAAAAAAAAAAAGAAATACTCAATCACTGTAAAAAACGGCCACTTAATAGCAGTGCAGACCTCAAAACTGCCGCTTTTTCACTTGGATAGCTTTTGTTTTAAAAGGACTGTTTTAAAAGGACCTCAAGAGGTCCCGTGTTTAAAGGATTGAGAAAAGTAATCCATACTGACACAAGCATAGTATATATATGTTTAAAAGATTAGGCCAGCCACGTATTCAAATATGTTCAGATCCCCAAAAAGGATGGGGGAAGAAAACAGTCTTATTAGCTGAAACAGTGGTTGCCAAAAGTAGGCTCTGTCTGGATGGGTTAATCCATACACTGCGACTCTCTTAGCTCATGGCTCAGGCATAGGGACCACTGCCATTGATTCGTGTTTATTTCCAGCAGAACCGTGTCCTGTTATTTTAAAATATTTGTTGTACATAGTGATACACTATTCCTGATCCCTATCCTTTGGTGATAATATTTTTAGATTGAGATTCTGAGTTTACGTTTGTATGATGATGTGATAGCAAATCACAGCTGGGCCACGTGGGAAGCTATGTTTACTTTTCCTTTCCTGCATAACTTTTTGTTTTCCCAAGAATTAACAACTGTTCTGGTTGTGTGTGTATGTGTTTTAGTTTTCTTTTTTAAAAATATGCGCATAATGTATTATTTGCTTCAGGGGTACAGGACTGTGAATCATCAGTCTTTTTTTTTTTTTAAGATTATTTATTTATTTATTTGACAGACAGAGATCACAAGTAGGCAGAGAGGCAGGCAGAGAGAGAGGGGAAAGCAGGCTCCCTGCCGAGCAGAGACCCGATGGGGTACTCCATCCCAGGACCCTGAGATCATGACCTAAGCCAAAGGCAGAGGCTTTAACCCACTGAGCCACCCAGGCGGCCCTGAATCATCAGTCTTAATGCAATTCACAGCACTCACGATAGCACATACCCTCCTCAATGTCCATCATCCAGCCACCCTATTCCTCCCCTTCCACCCCACTCCTCCGGGTTTTTTTAGTTGTCTATGTATGTATCCCTAATTCAATTTCAAATTCTTTACCCGTATTCTAAATCTCTACTGCAGGGGCACCTGGGTGGCTCAGTGGGTTAAGCCTCTGTCTTTGGCTCAGGTCGTGATCTCAGGGTCCTGGGTTCGAGCCCTGCATTGGGCTCTCTGCTTGGCAGGGAGCCTGCTTACCCCCTCTCTCTCTGACTACTTGTGATCTCTCTCTCTGTCAAATAAATAGATAAAATCTTTAAAAAAAAAATAAATCTCTATCACATATGTTCAGATGACTGAGATGTTCTTAGTAGTTCTAGTACCTTCCTGAAGAAGAGTACATGAGGTATACTTTTTGAAGCTTTACATGTCTAAAACATTTTTTCCAACCTCACCCTTAAATGATAGCTTGACTAGGTATTGAATTATATGTTGGAAATAATATTTCTTCAGACATCTGAAAGCATTATATCACTACCTTCTATCTCCTTAAACTTACTTTAAAAGTTTGTGTTATTTTAGCCACGCTTCCCCTGCCCCCAGCTTCATTTCCACCTCCAAAGCTATCTGGTGTCACCAATTTCTGAGGGTTTTAGGGGAAAGAAGGTAGTGGACTTTGGAGCATAAATGAGCTTATTGTTGTTTGGCTCTCTCCATTGCTAGCTTAGGATTCAGTTTCCTCGGGTCTTGTAAATTATTTTCCAGTATATCTTAGCTGTTTCTGCCTGCCCTTTCATCCTGAGGAGCTTATGCTTTTAGAGAAAAATACTTTTATTATTGTTTAGTGGGGTATTTGGAAGGAGTAAAGTTAGATGCATAGACTTAATTCACCATCTTACACAAAAATCTTTTTGGTTATAGACTTTTAATGATTTTTGTGTCTATGGCCACTGGTTTAACATGATTAACTTTCTTCCCATTCATGTTTTACAGTTCCTGACGAGCATCTATTATCGTAAGTATATATCCTGTTATAATTGGGGTTTTTTTTTTAACCATTAACGTGTTCTATTTAATTTTTTTTAAGATTCTTATTTATTTATTTACTTATTTAGAAAGCTGGGGGGGGGGCAGAGAGAGAGAGAAAGAGAAAGAGAATCCCAAGCAGACTCCTTACTGGGTCCAGAGTCTGACAAAGGGCTGGATCCCACCACTCTGAGATCATGACCTGAGCCAAAATCAGGAGTCGAATGCTTAACCAACTGAACCACCCAGATGCCCCAACCATTAATGTGTTTTGTTTTGTTCTTAAGATTTTATTTATCTTGTGCACGACAGATCGTGCACAAGTGGGGGGAGAGTCAGGCAGAGGGACAAGCAGGCTCCTTGCTGAGCAAGGAGCCCAATGAGGGATGTCCCAAGACCCTGGGATCATGACCTGAGCCGAAGGCAGATACCCAACCAACTGAGCCACCCAGGCACCCACCATTAATGTGTTTTAAAAGCCAGATCCTTTCAACACCAACTCTTTATTTTTAAGAAATTTTTTTTAAAGACTTTATTTATTTATTTGACAAAGATCACAAGTAGACCGAGAGGCAGGCAGAGAGAAGGGGAAGCAGGATCCCCGCTGAGCAGAGAGCCCAATGCGGGGCTCGATCCCAGGACCCCAAGATCCCAACCCTAGCCGAAGGCAGAGGCTCAACCCACTGAGCCACCCAGGCGCCCCACCAACTCTTTATTTTTAAAAGTACTCTTACTAAGAACAGTGTTTTCTTGACATTGTTAAAAATCTGTCCAAAGCCAATACCATTCTTGATAATACAAGGTATTCTTGTGTTGTCCTATTTGCCCCCCCCCCACTTTTTTTAACATTGTTGAAGTAGGGGTGCCTGGCTCAGCATCTGACTCTTGATTTCAGATTGCGTCATGATCCTGGGGTCCTGGGATTGAGCCCACATTGGGCTCCCCACTTGGGGAGTCTGCTTGTCTCCCTCTCCATCTGCCCCTCGTCCTGCTCACGTGCGAGCACTCTCTCTCATAAATAAATAAATCTTTAAAAAACAACAACAAAAAAACATTGTTTTAGTAGTTGTAGTTGTTATACTGACACATGAAAAAGAAATTAGAAGCATGCCTATCTGTAAGGAAAGAGTTACCATTATTTGTAGATGATAGAAATGTTTAAAATCCAAGAGAATAAAGGTTTTTTATTACAGAGATTAAAAATTATTTTCCCTCATACACAAAGTTCAAAAATATAGCTACAACAAAAAAGTGAAAGCTACCTAGGAATGAGTAACATTTAATTGTGTATGCATTTGTACACTTAATGTTTAATAGTTTAGAAAGATATACACCAACCTATGCCAGTGATGATTTTAGAGGAAAGAAAAGAGAATTTAGGTTTACAAAAGGTTTTAACATTTCTCTACTAAATTTTTATAGCGATTATTATTAGAAAATAAATTACTTTTAAAACAAAGAAAATGGGCAAATAATAAAAATGTAAATTAGCAAAAACTTTGGGGAAAAGGGTAAATCTTCCTAGTGATCATAAATATACAAATTAAAATAATGACACAACTTCCCATCTTTAAAACTGGCTACCACAAAAAAGATGTCGGTAAGAATGTCCCAGATGGGGGCACCTGGGTGGCTCAGTGGGTTAAGCGTCTGCCTTCAGCTCAGGACATGATCCCAGACTCCTGGGATGGAGTCCCACATCGGGCTCTCTGCTGAGCAGGGAGCCTGCTTCTCCCTCTGCCCCTCCCTCATGCGGATGCACTCTCACTCTCTCTCTTTCTCTCAAATAAATAAAATCTTTAAAAAAAAAAAAAAAAGAATGTCCCACATGTTGCCAAGAACATGGAGAAAAGGGTAATTGATACCCTCTTGGTAGAAGTGTCAACTGGAAACTAATCTGGCCGCAGGCCATGGAGCTTTAAAACATGCACATGTTCTTTGGTTTACAAATTCCATTTATAAGAGTGTATCCCAAAGAAGTGCTCATGCATGTTCATCAGGATTTTACAGTGAGTATATTCATCCAGTATTGCTTATGGTAGCAAAAACGAAAACAGACCCACCTGGAAACAGTCTAGTGATTCACATTAGATTTAAGAAACTCTAATTATCTAAACACAGAGTTTGGGGAGAAGCAAGATAATTTATCTCTATAGTGGAACTCTTTGTAACCATTAAGAGTGAATAAAAAAATACTCAGGAGGGTGTTCACCATAAATTATAAAGTTACAAAGACAGGTATAAAAATTCTTACTAGATTCATTTTTAAAGTTAACCGTGATTAATTGATAAAGTTATGACCAAATTTTATTTTTCTTTGCCCATAGATAATCTTCATGTTTTAATGAAAAAATTTAAAATTCTTCCCATTCTACTAGTTTGTTGTATCAAGAGACTAGATTGTTGGAAAATGAAGAATTTGAACATTTTAATCTTGAAGATAGTAGCTCTATCTTCATGTTTTGTGTCAGATCACATGAGTTGTTTAAAACATTAACTTCTGGGGCGCCTGGGTGGCTCAGTGGGTTAAAGCCTCTGCCTTCGGCTCAGGTCATGATCTCAGGGTCCTGGGATCGAGCCCCACATGGGGCTCTCTGCTCAGCAGGGAGCCTGCTTCTTCCCCCTCTCTCTGCCTGCCTCTCTGCCTACTTGTGATCTCTCTCTATCAAATAAATAAATAAAATATTTAAAAAAATAAAAATAAAAAAAATAAAACATTAACTTCTGTTTTAGTTCAACTCATCCATTTTATTTTCCAGTTTATAAAAATAACTCCTGCTCATAAAAAAAAAAAAAAAAATGTTCTTGTTTGGGGCACCTGGTGGCTTAGTCAGTTAAACATCGGCCTTCGGCTTGGGTCAGGATCTCAGGATCCTGGGATTGAATCCTGCATTAGGCTCCCTCCTCAGCAGGGAGCCTGCTTCTCCCTTTGCCTCTCACTCATGCTTTCTCTCTCAAATAAATAAAATACCAAAAAAAAAAAGTTCTTGGAAGATAAAGAAAACATGAAAAGCATCAACAATCATACCACCCAGTGATGATCACTGTTACAGTTTGTGTTTGCCTTTTTTTTTTTAATGTTTTATTTTGAGATCATGGATTTTTTTTAAACTTTTTTTTTTAAGATTTTATTTATTTATTTGTCAGAGAGAGTGAGCACAGGCAGACAGAGAGGCAGGCAGAGGCAGAGGGAGAAGCAGGTTCCCTGCTGAGCAGGGAGCCCAATGTGGGACTCAATCCCAGGAGGCTGGGATCACGACCTGAGCTGAAGGCAGCCGCCTAACCAACTGAGCCACCCAGGCGCCCCGGGATCATGGATTTTCTTAAAAAAAATTTTTAACATGGGGCGCCTGGGTGGCTTAGTTGTTAAGCGTCTGCCTTCAGCTCACGTCATAATCTCAGGGTCCTGGGATCGAGCCCCGAGGGGGGGGCTCCCTGCTCAGCGGGAGGCCTGCTTCTCCCTCTCCCACTCCCCGTACTTGTGTTCCCTCTCTTGCTGTCTGTCACATAAATAATCTTAAAAAAAAATTTTTTTTAAACATGAATGAGAGTTTCTGAATACCTAATTTTGTACCCAATCTTTCTCACCTATCATAAGAATTTTCCCACATTTTGGGGGGATTTTTTCTGATCTGTCATTTAAAGGTGGATAGCCTTTATTACCAATACAAAAAGTACAAATGACTACCCATCAGATGCTCAACATGAAAGTCTGATAATACTCGTATTGGTTAGGATGTGGGGAAACTCGAACTCATGAAGTGCTGGTGGGACTGCAGTTCCCACTGTGGAAAGCTACTAGCAACACCTATGAAAGCTGAAAAATGGAGGCGCCTGGCTGGCTCAGTGGGTTAAAGCCTCTGCCTTCGGCTCAGGTCATGATCCCTGGGTCCTGGGATGGAGCCCTGCATCAGGCTCTCTGCTCAGCGGGGAGCCTGCTTCCCCCTCTCTCTCTGTCTCTCTGCCTACTTGTGATCTCTGTCTGTCAAATAAATAAATAAAATATTTTTTAAAAGAAGATGAAAAATGCACACATCCTAGGGCTCAGCAAGTCTAATGTAAGCAGGAAGAATTCCCACCTAAGTGCATTAGGGACATGTACAGGGATAACTGAGTATTATTTATAATGTAGAACAGAAACGGAATGCCTATCAGCGTACTTAAAAAATAAAATACATGTACACACAGTGGAATGTTACTCAGAAATTAAATAAAAAAATACGTATGTCAACATGCATCATTTTCAAAAGCATACTGAATAGGAAAAACCAAGTTGCCAAAAAAAGCCTACAATATATCTTTTTGTGTTCTAAAACTTACGAAACAGGATCACACGCAGGTACGTGTATGCGCATGTGCTGTGTATACATATTCAGTACTTTGTCAAATACAATAGAAAAACATTAGCAGGAAGGAAACCAGTGCATGCAGTCACCTCGGGTGAAAGTTAATTGGGAAGAACAGGAAGCAGTATAATGTGTAAACAGGGCTTTTTCCGTAAACATGTTAACATTCTAGGGGGTTTAACATTACATGGGTTTTTGCTGTATTCTTTTTTTCCCAAATTAAAATGAATTTTTTTTTTAAAAAATGCCAAAGGTGGGGCGCCTGGGTGGCTCAGTGGGTTAAAGCCTCTGCCTTCTGCTCAGGTCATGATCCCAGGGTCCTGGGATCAAGCCCCACATCGGGCTCTCTGCTCAGCGGGGAGCCTGCTTCCCTCTCTCTCTCTCTGCCTGCCTCTGCCTACCTGTGATCTCTGTCTGTCAAATAAATAAATAAATAATCTTTTTTAAATAAATAAATAAATAAATAAATAATGCCAAAGGTGATTCCTTGGGTTAAGTTCCTATGGTGACTGAGAGTGGGCGTCTAACGTGAAAACCTCTTTGTTTCCCAGGCTGAAGTTCATCTTCGGCTCATCGGCAGTCCAGGCTTTGGACCTCGTGGACCGACAGTCTGTCACCTTAATCTCATCACCCAGTGGGAGGCATGTTTACCAGGTAGAAATCTAGAGGTGGGGATCAGCTCAACAAGGAAACACTCCTGACTACCAAATGTTTTCAGGAATCCCAGTTTGTCCTGGCTATTGAAAAGCAAATGACCCAACTTCAGAAAATCAGTGTATTAGTAATGAAGAGAAGCTAACTAAGACCTCTTAACCCTACCTGGTAGCAATGTATGGAACCGGCAATGACACGGAGAAGCTGTTTTCTCAAGTCTAATGGCATGGAGTTGATTTTTGCTTCCTTGTGTGTGATAACAGGCACTTTACTCCCAAAAACTGTGTTGACACTTCCACCTTGTTCCTTCTCTCTTGCCTACAAGCAAAAGCCAGAATGCATTTTGAGGTCCTTCTGCATGCTCAGATTCATCTACCAGAAGTGTTCTTTCAAAACTGCTGCTCGGGGTGCCTGGGTGGCTCAGTGGGTTAAGCCTCTACCTTCAGCTCAGGTCGTGATCTCAGGGTCCTGGGATCGAGCCCCACATCAGGCTCTCTGCACAGCAGGGAGCCTGCTTCCCCCTCTCTCTCTGCCTGCCTCTCTGCCTACTTGTGATCTCTCTCTTTAAGAAAAAAAAAGAAAAAAACAAAAACTGCTGCTCAAGGCAGATTGTCTACCTGGACTTTAGTTTTGTCCTCTAGAATTTAATATGCGTAGATCTGTAAAGTGATAGCCTCTTATCAGACTCTGAGAGACTCAGATTTCCTTGTGTTGTTGATAATCCCCCCCCCCACAACCCTCCAAGCCCAAGTAGGTATTTATCTTGCAGGAAACTGAGATGCAAAAAAGTAAACTCACGTCTAGCCGCTGGGGTTTGTAACTGCTGTCCCACGCTGCCTATCTATAACAGTGGGCCGCACCCCAACCCATTCTCACTCCCCCGCACCCCAGCCTAGTTATATGAGACAAGGGTAAGTGTCATGGGATTGAGGGAGGGGAATCTTGTGAATGAAATAAAAATACAGGCAGTGTTCTCCCAAAATTTTGAGTCCGGGGGCACCTGGCTGGCTCAGTGGGTAGAGGGCATGACTCTTGATCTCGGGGTTGTAGGTTCAAGGCCCACATTGGGTATAGAGATTACTTGAAAATAAAATATTTAAAAAATTGTGTATGTGTGTATCTGGCTTGGAAGGAGTAAAGAAGCCATCAGCTCTAGTATGTCATCCAGGTCTTGCTGAAAACAAGGAAGTAGGAAGTTTTTCAGCATTTGGATTCTGGTTTATTTATGATGAACTTCTCAGAGCTGAGACCATGTCCATTAATTCCTAGAGAGGGAGGAAAGCCTCCTTGGGCAAATAGGTACCTTTGCTTAGTGAATTAGCTGGCTGTTCCACATTATAGCATAACTTAACCCATCTGGCAAAATCTTCATCCGTTTCTTCATTAAGGAAAATGGGTTAGTTAATGTTGAGTGCCGGAGTTAACACTGCATTTACGTAAAAGAAGCCACCTGTTAGAATTTTGTCAGGGCGAACTCAACAGATTAATAATCAAAGCTATTAAATGATGTTGTACCTGACGAGGTGTTTCCATTTTACTTTTTTTTTTTTTTTTAGATTTTTTACTTATTTATTTGACAGACAGAGATCACAAGTAGGCAGAGAAGCAGACAGATAGAGAGAGGTGGAAGCAGGCTCCCTGCAGAGCACAGAGCCCGATGTGGGGCTCGATCCCAGGACACTAGGACCATGACCTGAGCCGAAGGCAGAGGCTTTAACCCACTGAGCCACCCAGGCGCCCCTCCATTTTACTTCTTAGTGTTTTTATTTGGCGTTTCTAGGGAGCTAAAATACCAGGAACAAGAAGGGCCCTTGAGTTTTTCCCACATCTTTTAGTTTCAGATTTTTTTTGTCTTCATCCCAGTATTAGCATAACACTTGACCCGTGCAAACTTCTTCTAAGTGCCCTCCAGTTCTAAGATCTAGTCATTAGTTAAAATCTTAAAAGGTTTTATTTGAAATAATTCAATTCTTGTTGACTTTTTGTTGCCCCCAAGATTGCCACTTATTTAACTTTCATCATTCCCATCCTGTATTCTATTACATTGCTTTATTCGTCATAAAAACGCAAACTTCCTAGTACTGTGACTTTCAGCTTGGACTTTGAATTAAATGAGGCTGTAGAACTCTTATATACACTCTCAAATTAACCTTAATGGTCTCATTGTACACTAAGATAGTCCGAATTTGGCTTAAGTAAGAAGTTCTCTGAGATGATAAAAGTTGAATCAGACACTGTCTGACGCCCCCCCCCACTGGTCATCTTCCCGTAGGTCACGCTACGGGACTGTTACTGTCTTCCAGATACAGCAGTAATTATTCCAAAGTCGTCACTGTGCTGTTGTCACCTGAGTTGCTTGTCTATAGACTTTCTGGGGTCACCTAGAGAGGGGGATGCATCGGTCAGGAGAGCCTAAGTTAGGAGGGGGCAACCATGACTCTCAAATGTCAAAGGCTTCCAGAAACAAAGCTGTATGTCTCAGTCATGCTTCCTGTCGGTTCCGAGTTGGCTGTCATCTACTCAGAATGTCTTCACTCAGCGATCCGCGTCGGCGCAGCAGCCCTTCTCTGGAGATTGTGGGTCTCACAGCAGAGAGGAGGAGGATGTGGTCGGTGCCAGTCTGTCGTTTCCGCGTGGCTACACCCATCTTCCCGGCTAAAGCGGATCACACAGCCAGCCAGTATTTAATAGGGCAGCAGTGTATGATCTCTCAGAGGCACCGAGCACAGGGCACAACAGATCATACAGCTGAGTACTGGGACGGCTCCTGAGAGGCCGGCAGCAGCCGTAAAACGGACTGTGCTTGCAAGCGGACGACCGTCCAGGTGGGTCGTGCTCCTTAGAAGCCGCCGGAACCACAGCCGACTTCCCCCAAGGGAGGCTCCTACGAGTCTACTCACGGCCTCCGTTTCCTGTTACCCAGATGTTTCTTTTTTAAAAGCTCTCTCCTTCTGGGGATAAACCTTGCAGACTGTGAGTGGACAAGTGGGGGCAGAAGCGGGGGCAGTTCTGGGAGGGGAGGGCATTTTTCCATTCAAGTCTGAAGCCACTGAGTTAGATGATCCCTGAGGTCAATTTCCAGTTGTAATCATTTCTAACTCAGATTTTTGGCTGATTACTGGGTTCGTTAGTCATCTGATGACTAGATAAGGAAGAAGCAAATTCACAATTTACTATCTCTGGACAGTGTTCACTGCCTCAGGCAGTTGAACATTGTACTTTTAGTGTTAGCCAGCCCCTGACAGGATCAGGCACGGGAGCGTCTGTAGACTCTCTCTCCCTCCCTAAGTCGCCTGGCACCGGTTCGGCACAGTCCAGAGTGTTCTGAAGGACTGGAGACCCGCAAGAAGAAGCCGGACAATGATTCAAGTCATTATAGAATTCCAGAGGCTAATGCCTGCTTAAATTTACACCTAGAGAGAAGAGGTAGAGGAAAGGAAGGAATCTAACGTTTTATCTATTGGTAATGGTTCGGAGACCCAAGAATTGTTCACATCACTGCTGGATGTTGGGTTTTTCCCAGGATGAAGTGGAAGACAGTCTGGTTTCAGACTGTCATCACTTTGACAAACACCACGCTGGAGCTCTGGTCTTCTGTTGCGGCCTTCCCAGTGGCTTTATTCTTTGCTGGGGAGGAAGAGGGGAGATTTTCAGGAGTGCTGACTCTTTTTTTTTTTTTCCCTGGCCTTTTCATTTAATCTGCCCATCTCAGAGCCTAAAACTAATCTGAAAGCCGTGGGTTAAATTCCTAAGTGGCAGGTCATGGTAAAATACTCCTCAGGATGTTTTTACTTCCTTGGATACTGATTTTACACTTCAGGTCCCGGACCTTTTTGGTTTGGGCTGCTTGGAGGTGGAGAGATGTCCACGAGCGATTTCTCCAGAAGGTTTGTCCATTCATGCCACAGACACATCATAATTTCCCTGTACGCCTGTCTGCTTCTGTCCCCCGACTACCAACAAGGTAGTCTGTTCCTGGACTAGGCCTCTCACCAGCCCCTCAAGTATCTGCATCCTCCTTCCATCCTGCCGGGTGAATAGGCAGTTCCAGGCTTGCCTTGTTCGGAGACCTCCACCCTGGCCGCTGAGTCATCCCTTTTGCAAGATTCTTTGTTTGTTCTCCCTGCTCTCAAATGTTTTTTAAGAGCCCTTTCCTTCTTCTGAACACCCGTCTTCCTGCCGCACTGCTCACCGGTTTTCACACTTGGTTTGGGTGTGTGGCGGAAGCTTTAGAAACGCTCACACCTACTGTGAGATACTAAACGTTAAGAAACAGCAAAGTGTTGGGAGGGGACCGGTCCCTCCACCTCTCTGCAGGCAGCCCATGGAGCTGGCTCTCTAAACCGCTAGGGAGAGGACTAAGGCCGTTTGTACAGGAGGTTTCGCTGGTCTGAAACTCCAGTTTTGCTGTATCTTCATACAGCAGAGCCCCGAGTCTGCACACAGGGAAGTGGGGTCTCCCCTTTTGGGTCAGACGTTGCTGCAGTTCCCAGCGCGATTTGCAGGGCAACCCGGAGTCCTCAGATGGATAAACTTAAGGGAAGGGAGCCATTTCCCAGCACACCTCTCCCGAGTCTGATTTCATCTGTCCTTTTCCTTCTAGGTACTTGGAAGTTCTGGTCAAACATACACATGTCTGGCTTCTTGTCATTACTGCTCGTGTCCTGCCTTTGCCTTCTCAGTGCTGCGGAAGAGTGACAGCCTGCTGGTGAGGAGGGGAAGGCTCTTCCCTCTCTGGGCAGATTAGCAAGTTCTTGGCCCTTACCGGGTGGCTTAAGAGTTGTACAAAAGAGGAATTTTTTTTAAGATTTTATTTACTTACTGAAGAGAGAGAGAGCGTGCGCGCGCGCACACACAAGCTGGGTTGAAGGGCAGAGGGGGAAGCAGGCTCCACACTGAGCCGGGAGCCCGGTGCAGGGCTCGATCCCGGGACCCCGAGATCATGACCTGAGCTGAAGGCAGACACTCAACCCACTGAGCCACCCAGGCGCCCCCAAAACAGGAATTTTTACCACGTATCTCAACAGATGGCTGACTGTCCTTGCTTGCACAGTCATCTCTTTTGGGATTACCCGCCCCCCCAAAATGCAGGGTCATTTTTAGATCTATATCCATTACCAAGTCTTTTATTTAAAAGGTCACAGATGAAGCTTTGGGGAGGGCAACAAGGTAATCTCGAAAGCTGGCTCTGGGGAATTAGCCCAATAAAAACAGGAGCTGAACTGGTCGTTGGCGTGTCTGTGTGTCCCCTGCTGCAGCTATGAGGTGTTCCTTCCCACTGCTCGTCGGACGGCCTGGCAGTGAGCCACGCCGGCCTCGCACACGAGGCAGGAGAGCACGTGGAGACTTTTGCGCACTTCACAGGCGCCCAGAACATCAAGCAGGAGCAAGGTATGCTCCCGCAACTCCTTATTTCCGAGGAGAAAGCACTACCCACCCGAGAGCAGGTAGCTATTTTGTAAGACCTGCCAGGGAAAATTACAGTACCTGCTCCACGCTTCCCCTCTCTCTCTCACTGTTAAGCTGGTAAACATCCTGGGAACGGGGGCGGCTGGTTGCGCATCTCGTCATTCAAAGACCAGCTTCACAGCTGGTGTGTCATAGCTGTGCTCCGCCCGTGAAGGGACAGGATCAGACTTCGGGCCCCTTCAGTATCTGAAGCTGAGCGTGTTCTGTGACAGAAGGTCCCGCATGTCCCCAGAGGTGTGTCCAGGCTGCTACAGGGGAGGGTTCCACCACCCACCAGCAGGTCCCCCGCAGGGCAGTGCGCAGTGAAGGGAGCAGACCACAGACTGGGTGCGTGGGTAGAATGGGGCTGAGGCCTGTCCTCGTGGGCTGGCGGACAGATTTCAATGAGCTCATCTGCGAGAAGCACCGAGCGACACGGCAGGTCAGGGAATGTTCGGCATCGCCGTCAAGAGCGGTCTGAAGGCTGGAAGAAGGCAGCAGAGCGGAAGATGAAAATGAGGGGCCCGTCTTGCTTCTCACTATGGGTTATAAACCCTGTGCCAGTCCCAAAACAACAGGCAAAGTAAAACTTCCTTTATCCCCTCGGATTTCTAGTAGGAACACATCGTGTCCTCCTCAGCTGCACTTTTTAGGCAGTGAGTCTGTAACGTGTGGGCCCTACTCCCTCCCTAGTAAGTGCGGCGAGCGGTCCTGGTCAGTGTCAGCCCTGCCCGTGTCTAACAGGTTTGTGTCTTGTGTTCCAGTGCAAGCACCTCCTGGCGATTTATCTTAGTCAGGTGATGGGAACCTGTCGACAGCTAAAGGTCTCTGACAAGCAACTGACTGACCTATTATTCGTGAAGAAGAAACAAGCAGCACAGAAGGTATAGACGCTGTTATCTTGTAGACATGGTTATCTTTCAAAACAGGAGTCCCACCCAGAAACACATTTAACCTACCAAGCTTCACACGGAAGAGAGGTGAAATAGATCTTCTGGAGACTTCTTGCCACTGCCTCTGTTCCCTCACGGGTAAGAGACTGAGCTGCAAGCCAGATGTGCGTGTGCTTTGAAGCTCTACAATTTCTCCTGAAAAGTCTGGGAGCCTCGTGGGTCAGTTTCTTAGCCAAAGCAAGCCTCTGACCAAACAAAGCTGAATACCATGTCCTGTCTGCAGTTAGATTTTTTTTTTTTTTTAATTTATTTGAAAGAGAGAGATGGCACAAGCTGGAGGGGTGGCAGGCAGAGGGAGAAGCCAGCACCCCGATGATCAGGCAACCCAACTCGGGACTCAATCCCAGGACGCCGGGATCATAACCTGAGCTGAAGGCAGATGCTTCACCGGCTGAGCATCCCTGGCGCCCCGTTAGGTTCTTAAGTCCCTGAAGTACTAGTAATTTTTAAGAGGCTAGAATAGTAGATGACTCTGGTCAGGTGGAGTTTAGATGGGCGTTCCTCCCTTTCCCGGGACCCAGAAGTTTGTCTGCAGCAAAGCAGAGGAGAGACGTGGAGAAGCACAGGCGCACCAGAAGCCTCCATGGCTCTCGTTTCCAGGAGCTGCAGCCGGTCCGCGGAGCCGGGGCCGCAGTGCGCACCGGCTGTAGCGTTAGACAGCGGTGCCGTCGGCAAGGTTTGCTCTGCCTGCACCGCAGAGCCCTGCGCCAGGCCGGAGGAAGGAAGGGGCTACACGTCCCGCCCGGAAGGAAGCCCAGAAACTACTAGGGGTTTCCAGTCTGAAGAAGAAAAACGCCCGAGAGCTACCAAGAGACGTGTTTTAGGAGGGAGAGAGATGGGACTCGGTTGGACCCGGAGAGAGTGAAGGAGCCGTGGCCATAACCGTGAAAATAAGACCGCGCGCAGCCAGGAGAACTTAGTAAAGCTGTTCCCAGCCGGAGCAGGAGCCTGGAGGGCCTCGAACACTCTGGCTCCGCGGGGGCTCATAAATCTGCAGTGTCCTCATCCTCCCGGGATTACTGCAGAAGGAAATGCAGCCGTGAACAAACAGAAGAAACATCTTACAGCCTGGGGAACGCCCGGCCCCGGAGACGTGCGGCGCCAGGCGAGCACACGGCGGGGAAAGGGTGCCGGTGGCACCGTGGGGGTGGGGGTGGGGTAGAGCCCTTTGTTGCCGCAGATAAAACCTGTCAAGACTCGACTCCTTGGGAAACTTGATCTGGGTATGAACTTCTCCTTTTAAGCAGTCTTCACAATAAAGGAAAGGATGTGGGGTGCAGCACGCTAAACTTGTTGTGAAGTTTTATTTTTATCTCACGTAATAGAGGTACATGGATGTAGGATTTTTACTTATTCACATTTTCACACTTGGGCTCCAGGGACGTGGCCAGCCTGCAGCCTGGTGGGGATACGCGTGACTACCTAAGGGCAGAAGGGGCAGGTGCCGTTTGGGAGGGGAGGGATCGCATGACCCCAGTTCTTCCTCTAGGGTGGTTTGCAGTACATGGAGAACAATGTTCCCAAAGACTGACAGTCCACTTACGAATTTACAATAGTAGCATTTCCCCAAATAAATATAGAAGTCTGTTAACTGAAGAATTATACTTTTAATTTTCCTGGTCACCTTCCTAGGAACAAGTATCTATTTTTAGTATGTTCAACTCTTATTCTTTCACTGCCTCTGCATTAAAAAAAATTTGTATTATAATAGTTCACAGTGTTTTACAGTAAAATAGTTTCATGTGCTACCATGAAAAGACGCAGACTCCTAAAAACGAAACAGTCTTTTACAATCCAGGCCACTGGCATCGTCCACACAGCAGCCGGAACGAACCAGAAGTACATTTGTGAACCTCTGCAGCCGACTAATAACGTGCATATTAGCTAGGCATGTGGTCACTCAAAAGAGAGGTGGCCCGTGCACGAACACGGTGTCGCTGTCTTTAAAAACAGGAATGAGCCAGTCAGGTCCCGTCCCTTTGTTTGTTGAGAATGTGTGCTTCCTGAAGAGGCCGGGCCCTAGGTCATAGGCCCACATCAAGGGCTGGCTGTGCCCCTGCCTGCCCATTCCCGCTCTTGAGGACATCCGTCTGGCAGAGAACGTACCTGGAGATGATTTTGTGAAAAGTGTAGCGGAAGTCCCGGTTCCGATAGGCATAGACGACGGGATTGACCACCGAGTTGGCATGTGACAGGAGAATGGCCGTGTTCATTACCCACTTGGGCTTAGCCTTAGACTTGGCTGGCTGAAAGAAGGTGACACAGTTGATGGCATGTACTGGCAGCCAGCAGAGAGCAAAGATCCCAACGATCATGGCCAGGGACTTGGCGGCGTGGATCTCCCGCTGGATGACGGTCCTGGAGTGGTCCATCAGCTCCGTGCGCTGCAGCTGCCTGCAGGCCTCCAGGAAGATCCTGATGTAGATCACCAGCATGATGAGCAGCGGGGGCAGGACACACCCGAAGAAGTTGAAGTACACCATGTAGCTCATGGGGACCACGTTCTCAAACAGGCACCGCACGAGGCAACAGCTTGCGTTTGCGGCTCCATCCCAGGGCTCCGTGCAGTTGGCGGCAGTGTTCTTACTGTTCCACCCCAGGAACGGGGTCAGTCCGATGCCAAAGGCGAGGACCCAGAGGACAGTGATGACTCTTCTCGCTCGAGTCCCAGTGACCAGACTCTTATATCTGCTCAAAAGAATGGCACCCGTTATCGTCAGCGCACAGAACTGTCGCCAGAGCCCAAGACCCCACCTCTGCTTTGTTCCGTGGTCCTCATCCCAGCAACCTTTAGGGCCGCCCTCAGAGGGCAGCAGCCTTTTACCCCCAACATGAAGACCTCCAAATAGGTATAAACAACTTCGCTCTAACAAGCTCAGAGTTTCATCCTTGATTTCCTAGCTCAGCTCTGCTGAGTGACGGATCCTGGTCAGTGAGAACAAGTGGAGAGTCTTCGGGGGCGCTTTCTAATGACCCACATCCCAAGCTGTGGGTCTAGGTCTTCTGTAAGGCACTGTTCTAGGTGCTGAGCCACACCAGCGAAGAACAGCGAAGATCCCTGCTTAGAAAGCACTTACATTCTAGTAGGGGGAGACCAGAGATCCCAAACCACAAATCTGCTGGTAAATTATACAGCACACTAGCAGGAGAGGTGTAGAATGAAAAAAGAAAAAGCAGAGTATGGAAGACCAGGACTGGCAGAAACTGGAGTTTTCAAGAAGTCAGTCAAAGGAGGTTTCACCGATCTGGTGAGACTTGAACAAAAGCCTGAGGAGGGGCACCTGGGTGGCTCAGTGGGTTGAGCCTCTGCTTCGGCTCAGGTCATGATCCCGGGGTCCTGGGATCGAGCCCCGCGTCGGGCTCTCTGCTCGGCGGGGAGCCTGCTTCCCCCTCTCTTTCTGCCTGCCTCTCTGCCTACTTGTGATCTCTCTCTCTTTGTCAAATAAATAAAATCTTTAAAATAAATAAATAAAATTTTTTTTAAAAAGCCTGAGGAGGTGAGCATCAGAGCCCCCAGGGGCCCAGCGCACTACTGGGCCACCCCAGGCAAGAATCCCGGCCTCCCGCACACACAGAGAGGTCTGTCTCCGACTGTGCCAACAGTCAGCTCTGGAAACTGCCGGAGAAGAAGACATCTGGCAACATCCCCCTCTCTGCTAGCAGTGAAACCGATAAAAACGGGAAAATACTGGGGCGCCTGGGTGGCTCAGTGGGTTAAGACTCTGCCTTCGGCTCGGGTCACGATCTCAGGGCCCTGGGATCGAGCCCCGCATCGGGCTCTCTGCTTGCAGGAAGCCTGCTTCCTCCTCTCTCTCTGTCTGCCTGCCTCTCATGCCTGCTTATGATCTCTGTCTGTGTGAAATAAATAAAATCTTTACAAAACAAACAAAAACAAAAACAAAAAACGGGAAAATACTGTAGCAAATATTAAATAATTCTGGTAGTTTTAAAACTTGGAATCTTGTTTAAAATTGCGAGAAATCAACACGTAATTTAGACATTTTGCCATAAACTAGTCCATATACGGTTTATAGCAAAGCTATCAGGCTTGCTGTTAATAATTGGTCCATAATATGTATTCAATGTCATGTACTGAGTAAATGAGAGAAAATCTTTCCTTAACACCTCTGGGAAGAAAACGGGGAAATAATTTGATACATGTTACCTGAAGACCTGCCTCTCCAGTGTCCAGTTTCCCGCGCCTGAGGTAGAAAGCCCAGACTTGGCCCAGGTCCACAGTACCCCGCGGCCCCAGCCCCACCCAGCCAGGGCCTGCCGGGGCTCCCCGAGGGCTCCCGCCGCTCTCCACACAGGATAAACACCTGTTCCCGTTTGAAGGGTCACCTCCTTTCTGGATCACCTCCCGGGCAGAGGTGGCCACTCCCTCTCTCTGGCCCCAGACACACACCTGGCACAGAGCTTATTTATCTATGCCGGTGGTTTCCCCTCCGCTAGAAGGTCAACCTCAAGGACCGGCACCTTGTCCCTTTGGCACTGGTACCCCAGGACCTGGCGTGTATCTGGTAGGTTCTTAATGATCTGGCCATTATGAATGCATTCCTTATTTGTTATCTGACTTGTTACCCAATGGCTTTAAAAGAAGAGCACTTACTAGCAATACCTAAGGCCACGGGCCTGGACTGGCAGGAGAACGGGCCCAGTTTGCTGCAGAAGCTCACAGAGATCTTGCCTCATGACAGCCGCCCCTGATCCTTTCTCCCCCTGTGACGGCCGCTCTCCACAATGGGCAGCGCGGTTGTGGGGCCTTGACTACGAACGGCCCGCTGGGCTCTACTCCTCGCTAAATTCCCCTGGGCCGCTAAATCCATCTATTTCTAAATCCTTTCTGTTTCCCCCCCTCATTCAGGAACGCACAGCCATTCCTTTAAAAAAAAAAAAAAATGTTCCTGCCGCCCATCACTCCGTCGGAGAATGCGTCAGTGCCCGCAGGAGGCCCAGGCAGCCTCCCTCAAACCCAGGCACTTAGAATCAGAGGAATCCAGATCTAGGAGGCCGCTTCCTAAACAGCCTGCCCTTTCTGTTCTGTCGTTCACAGGATTCAGCTGCATTTAATTGTGTGCACTTGAACACCAGCCAGTGCGGGGCCAGGGCGAACCGTATTTGGCATAAGCAAGTTCTCTGATGTGGATACAGGAGATGGTTCCGGCCAATGAGACGAAAGGAAGCATGCTAGGGTACTTCCAGGAAAAGATTTTCCTTCTTGATAAAATGAGAGAGAACCCATGAGGAGGGCTCTTCTCCCAACCCATCCCCTTCTGCTTTTGACGCTCCTGTCAGAGGCCCTGATGCCTACAGCTGCGGCAACCATCTTGTGACCATGAGGGGCTAGCCTGGAGACAAAGCAACGGCCAAGCAGAAGGAAGGAAAGGGCCCGGGTCTTTGACCACCTTTCTGAACCCTGCACCAACCGTAGAACCATCATGGCTCCACATTCAAGTTTAAGAGATCATTAAATGTCTTGGTTGCTTAAGCCACTGTTTATCCCGGAGCCAAAAGCATACAACTTGGAAGGGACTTTTCTCTCCTCTAATCAAAACTCCCTTATTTTACAAATGAGGACACAGAGATACAAAGCCTTTGAGTAACCAAAGCAATGTAAGACCCAGAGACCCAAGCTAGGTCGGGACTCCCAGGCCAGTGCTCCCTGCACCACACTATGCTGAGGCTTATTTTACGTGACTTTTTTTTTTTTAAAGCAACATTACACACTGGACATGGAGGGATGACAGGGGTGGGCTTCCAACCAGAGTCCAGAACAACAGCGGGAATCCACCTACATCTGAACTCAGAACTGCTGGATCCTGCACATGTGAAAAACCACTTTTATGCTCCATGGACTTAGATAAAGCAGATGATTCCATCTGGGGAGCAGGCGGTCGCCCCTTTGTGAGCCCCCAAACACATCTTCTCTGCCCTCCTGGCTCACTATCTCACTCAGAGCCCTTCCTACAGCCCGGGCGCTCCGCTAGTCACGGGAAACATAATCACAGCCCTCCTGGGTTGTAAAGCGAGCGAAGGAGAAAGTCAACAAGTAGACACACAAACGTGTCATTACAAATCAGGGGGAGTTTGGCCAAACCAAAATGAATAGGGAGCAGATCAGAGGGAAAACAGGAAGACTCGGGACAGATGTTGGGGAAGGCCTCTTGGGCAGAGCAAGGCACAAAAGGAGTAAAAAATTTGAAGAGTGGGGACGAGAGCATTCTAGTCTGAGCAGCATGGTAAGGCTTGCAGACAGGAAGGGATTTTCCTTTCCTAAAGAAGGGAAAGGAAGGCCCCTAAGATGAGGCAGGGGCCAGCTCATAGGCCATGGGAAGGAATCTAGATTCTGATACTCCAAGTGCAGTGGGAAACTGTTGGAAGTTTTATTTTAAGCAATGGAATGGGGCTGACTTAGGTTCTGTAAAGCTCACGGTATGGAGACTGAATTTCAGGGAACCAAGAAGAAACACAGATCAGTTAGGAAACTCTCTTGGTGGCTCATACGAGAGAAAATGGTGACATGGACCAGGGTGACAGCGAAGACGGTGCTGACAGATCTGCCCTTTGGAGGGAGAACCAGCTGGTCCTGAAAAACGGACTGGATATAGGAAGAGGAGAACTGAGGATGATTCCTAGGATTTGTCCCATCCCATGCACGAATTCGTTATACTGAAACAGTATCAAGGGGATTAAGAGCAAGACAATCGTGGATGTCAGTATCCTGATGACAACGATCCCAAGAGAAAAAAAGAGAAGATGTAGGAAAAAGGCAAAACTATTAAAGTGGCTGAGAATCTGGGGAGGTTGGAGGATGTGGCCCAGGGCACGTGTGGAGGGACATGCCGCTGTGGCAGAGAGAAGAAGAACAGGGCCAGGGCGGGAGGGGTAGGGCTGGGCAGCTACAAGACCTTTAAGAGCTGCAGTCACTCAGCCACGGAAGAAAAGCTGTCCCCTGCGGGGGCGGGGCGCTGGGGCGTGGGAGGTGTCTCACCGAGTACAAAGGAGCTTGCTAGAAATATGTGGTGGGATGACAGCCTCTGTGGTTTTGACAGGGTAACAGCCTCCGTTGAGGACGAGGTGCCGGCTGACCCGTGCAAGTGCGAGGCCGAGGGGGAGTGAGCAAGTCTTACAGGAAGGTAGACCAGGGTGCAGACTCCCGGGCTGGGCAGCAGAGGTGTGGGGCAGTGTGTCTGGACAAGGGGAACATCAAAGGTTCGTGTCCTTCGCAGGAGGGAACAGGATACTATTCTGGAAAGGACAGTGGAGAGACCCAAGAGAAAGCACTCAAGCCCGAGTCCCCACCCAAGGTCCCAGGTGTAAGCAGAAATAAGGGAAACCATGTCCTTGGGGGGGCCGCCTTGGTCAAGGCCAGGTGGCCGAGGGAACGTCCGGAGAAGAGGTCTGAGAAGACCCAGGGATCTGGTGGTGGCCGGGGGAATGGAGAGCTTGGAAAGGCGAGGCGGGACTTTGGGTCCAGTCAGTCAGAGAATGTACAGAACACTGCACAGTTGAGAATGTGTGGATTATTCTGAGGCCCTAAAACACTCGGCTACAGTGGAAAGTAAAGCCACATCTCCGTTTTCATCTTTAATATGCGAAGAATACTTGAAATTTTTTTTCTGAAGATTTTACTTTTTTTTTATTTGGCAGAGCACAAGCAGGGGGACCAGCAGAAGGAGAGGGAGACGCAGGCTCCCCGCTGAGCAGGGAGCCCAATGTGGGGCTCGATCCCAGGACCCTGGGATCATGACCTGAGCTGCAGGCAGATGCCCAATGGACTGGGCCATCAGGGTGCCCCGAGTACTTAAAACTTTAAAACTTTCTTCATCTAAAACAAGGTTTCCTCCCTCATTTCCCCCAACTGGTAGATCCTTTCCCTCTCAGGCGGCCTTTGAACCCCATGAGCAATGTTCTGGAGTCCCGCACCTGCAGACCTGCTCCCTAAGCCGTGACACTGAGCCTGTGCTGCTGACACCTCCTCCAGGCAGCCTACCCGTCATGCTCAGACCGTGGCTCTCAGGTCACAGCTGGACTCTCTCCAGTTTACTGACGTGCCAACCGAGGCTCAGAAAGCTTGTTACCGGCCTGCTGCCCTGAACTGCTGTCAGGACACAAACTCTATCTAACCTGACTCCGGTTTTGCCAAAAGTAGTCATTTTCCAGTTCGAGACCAGATGGCTTGTCTCACCAGTCCCGGCTCCCGCCTCTGCCAGTCACTCAGCCACAGGCCCACCTCAGGGGCAGCCAGCCACGGGTCAACGGCTTCTCTTTCTTCCCTGGACACGTCTGCCCTTGCCGGAGCTGCCACATGGCTCCGGGCATGGCAGCACGGAGACTTCCTTTGCTCTGCTGGAGGAAGAGCCAGACCCACGAGAAGGCTCCAAAGACAAAAGCACGTTTAGCACAGGTGCTCCAGAGCCATCATGGCGCATGGTGTCCACGAGACCCATGCCTGGGTGCAGGCCCCGGGGGGAGACAGTCGTGGATGCTGGAGAGAGCTGACAGGTGTCCCTGCCCTGAGCAGGATGTTCCCAGGGATGACCCCCGGGCTCCCTGGCATCTCATGAAGGCTCTAGTAATCTCCCCTCCTGTTCTCTCCCCTCCTACTTCAGCTGTTGCGGCCCCGTCATTTTCCAGAATGCCTGCCTGTTCCCTGGCCCCTCCTCCAGCCTGCGGATTCCATGCTTTCCTCCCTCTGCACCAGGGTGTCCCACAACATCCTCAACATGTGCGTGTGTACGCGTGTGTGTGTCCCCAAAACATTCCCGAAAGGCAGGGATCACGTTTTTGCCTCCATCTGCCCCTATGCCAGTCTCTGCCCGGCTGTGGGGGACACCGAGCACAAGAGTAAGGCCAAGGAAGATGGACATCGGCCCCAAAAGTGGGAGGTGTCAGTAAAATGCAGCGACAACTGAAGGAAGCGTGAGCAGCTTTATTATTCCGAACAAGCAGGAGCGATTCTCTCCCGCACAAAAGGGGTGTTCTGGGAAAGGCCACGCTCTGGAAAGCAGCTATGCTGCTCTGCTGGAAGGGAGGCTGGGCTGTGACCCACCCATTCTCCCTCGAAGGGGCTCATTAGCTAAGGAGATTGACAGAAAATCGGTCACACGGAGGGACTCAACAAAGGGAACAGTGTGGCCACTAAGGTTACATAATGCAAGGCAGATTCGCCAAGTTCCGCAGAACAAGGGCTGGCCTATTTCTGGGGCAGGGTCTCCTCCCTCTGTGCTGGGCCGCCCTCTGCTCAGACCAGGCCACTGCCTTCTCGGCCTTGGAAATCAGGATTCCCGGCTCCGGGGGGTGAAGATCAGCCGATGCCCTTGAGCGACTGCCCTGGGCACTGGCTGCGGGCTGTACGGAGTCTGCGCTCTGGCATCTGAGAAATGGGGACAGAAGTGACCACAGAACCCATCCCCCACACTGCCGGGCTCTGAGCACAGGGAGAAGGTGTTCAGAGCACCTTATGGACCCAGAGCTCTAGGGAGATGCGCATGGAGTTGTCGTCGGTTCTTAAATTGTTTACTGTTTGTTTAGGGACTGTTTTCTTTATATTCTGTCCAGATCGCAAACTGTATTCCTCTATAATATAGACATTTCTGCCTTCAAGCATGTATACGTATATACATTATTAGGAAAACTTCGTATTCTCTAAAAGTGCCCATGAATAGTAACAGGACGTGAATCAAAGTCGGGTTAGGATGGACCCCTCAAAACCTACAAAACGTAACCAGAACACTAACATCTGAGAGTGCCCGGGCAGGCAGCCTGGTGGGGCTGGAGGCCGCCACAATGAATATTAAAAACGCATCCAACAAATCTAGTGGCGGTTCTGGCAAAACCTGCATTAGAGCGAGGCCACGAAGTGCCAGAATGAGGCGGGTGAGAGCTGGCTGGAGCCGCTACAAAGCAGGGCGCCGTGCGCAGGGGGGCCCCAGCCTGGCCCCAGCCCGAGGGCGGCTTTCGGAGGAAGCGGGCCCAGACGCAGGCATTGCTGGTGTTTTCCTTCCTCCTCGTTCCCCTTTGAGCTCCTACGACACAACTTTCCTTTCCTGCTGAAAATTATAAGGGTATCCCACGACCCCAAGCCCTTTCACCAGGGCCGAACCACAGATGAACCCAAGCAGTCCGCACGGGGACCAGCATCCCCCACTCTTCACCCATGACACGTGCACGAGCTCCCAT